AACACTATTTCCTTTCTATTTGGTTTCATATATCTAGATTTTGAAAACTAAAACACTCCCCTCCATTTTGTTCATAATTTTAGCTCTTCCTTGCTAAACACTTGAGTACTTGCTGAGTGGCAGTAGCCAGCTAATAATAAAAGCTTTATACTCCTCCCCCTCTTTCTCAAGAGATTACAATATGCATGCACATTGCACTACATACAGTAGTGTTTAAAACACGTTATAGTGAACAATTTTAATTCTTAAAATGTGTAAATACTTAAAATGAGTAGGTAAGCACTAGTTCACTAGTTCTAATTAGTGTTAACAAGTACACTGTGCCAAAGCTTGGGACAAAAAGAAGTCCTTAGCATATGTACAGTTTAGTCGTGCTTTCATTTCAGGAAAACAATTAAGTCACACTTAATAGTGGTAAGAGTATAGGGGAGTCTCAGAAAAACGAGCCAAGATTTCTCAGGGCATTAGGCACAGGTTGGAGAACTTTTCATGCTTGACTTTGAACATTACTGCATATATGGTTTTAATATAGTATTGATTTTCAGCTAAGTTTCTAAATGTTTTTGACTTTGAGTATGATGTTTTTTTCTGCCAGATTGAAATAGATAATGGTGATGAGTTAACTGCTGACTTTCTTTATGAAGAAGTACATCCAAAACAACATGCTTACAAACAGACTTTTGCTAAACCAAAAGGTCCTGCAGGGAAGAGGGGAATACGAAGACTGATCAGAGGTCCAGCAGAGACTGAAACACCTAGTGATTAGAAACTGTGTGTGTATTTGTTAGAGTGAGAAATGGAATTCTGGCTTTTGGTAATGAACTGAAATCATTCCATTCATAGATGCTAGGGATAATAAAAAGCTCTTTTTACTCTTCTCTTTTCTGACCTCAACACTTTTTATATTGTTACATGATTATATTTGTTGACCATGTTTTATGACATATAGAAGAGATAATTATTTTGAAGCTAGAAGAGAAAAACTAAGCTAGTACCTCTTTATTTTAATTTAGAATCCATTATTTAATAGCTGTACATGTGATCATAAACTTTGCAGACATAAGACAATGAAGTCCATGTATTCTGTAAGTCACAGCTGTATTCTTATGCATGAACCTAAATCTAGTTAAACCTCTAAGACTTCCCATGTGAGAAGAGATGAAGGCCTAGATAGCATTGTCCCAATTAAAACTTTATTTCTCCTTGTAGCACTTACGGACAATAGTATAATAGAAGGTTGTCTTTGGATTTTGACAAGATGCATTGCTGGATTTTGTTGTTGTTTTGTTTGTGGTTTTTTTTTTTTTTCCTTGCAATGGAAAAGATAAAATCAGTTATCGTTCAATTAATGTAAGCATTCGGGAATAGGTGGACATTTTCCATGGCAAAAACTTAGTCATCTGAAATTTATAACTAATTTAATGAATTATCCTTTAAAGAAATCAGGCATAAAACACAATAGCTTTTTCAGACTTCTGTATCACTTGTGTTACGTATTAGGTACTGAATGGCCAAGTAAAAGGAGATTAAAAGTCAATGAGTTAGTATACTCAATAGATTATGGAGCTGCTTTCAGAGCAATATGTCTGAAGTATCTAAAAAGTAATTAATTATTGGTGCAGTTGGATCTAAAAATGTGTAAGTTCAGTAAAAATTGAAACAGTCTTGCTTCATAACAGTGAATTATCCTTGAGGTCCTACTGTGTTTGCACTATCAACTGCATTTTTACTTTCAAAGTATTCTGAAAATTATTTTTTTTAAGTGTTTGAACTTCAACTGTAACTTGCATCTGTAATTTAAGTCCAGCTAGGTCTTGAATAACTGCTGGCAGCAAGCCCCTAGTTAGGATTTAGATTATTTTTTTCCTCCCTTCTTCCCTTCTTCAAAATACTTAAATCAGCTAGAATAGTCTAAACTTCACTGAACTGTAAGTAATGTGTTTAACAGGAAGAGGAAAAGTAAATTATTTTAATAAGTGCTTTAAGGGGGAATTAGATGTGGAAATCAAGGATTGGATGACCTTAAATATTTAAAACTGTGTGATGAAGCAAAATACTTGTGATTAGATTATATTCCCAGTGAGGACTTGCTTTTTAGTGTCTTTTATGTGACCTTTGTGGGTTTTGAGTTTTGTTGGTTTTGGATTTTTTTAAAGCTAAAGTTGCCAGCTTTGGTTTATTGGATATTATCCTAGCTCCTGGATATAGAGCTGAATCATGTGTTTACTTGGTGGAAGATGGATTTTAACCTAGTTTTGTAGGGAATAATGTTTTGACAGTAGTAGTTCCTGAAAAAAAAAAAAAAAGTTTTATCTATTATTTTGTTTGGCTATACTAGCTTACTATTGACATCTGAGATTGCACTATATAATGTGATGGTTGCAATAGTTGGTATTTCCATGGGTTTTTTATATGCAGCAGCAATTTTCCACTTCAGCTTTTTTTTCATTTAATTTTACACACTACATCAGTCCAATTCAATAGTTCTTGATCCTCAGCTAATCTCCTGCTTGCTCTTGTGTTCTTTTCCTGCCTCTTGCCTTCTGTACTGTGTGTCAGGCAGGTGTCATTGTTTTTTAAATATGGTTACTGTGTGTGCAGCTCACTGTACGCTGTAATGAAATGTATTTTTAGAATAACTCAAATATTTGTAACACACCTAATTCACTTTGGAATTTTTGTTTTGGTTTGGTTTTAAGGAGTGTAGCATTTAAAAATTACTGCTAGAGGGTTGTTTGAATTTAGTATTCCTGCCCTTATGCCAGCCGTAGCAGGAGTGCACATACCTCTACACTTTTTTGAGCCAGTAAAGAAGTTCAGCTTTTTAAGATTAAATGTTTTAAATAATGAACAGTTTGACCTGATATGGTTGTGTGCATATTGTGGGGGTTTTGTTGGATGCCTGTTTGGTTTTTTTCGCTGTTGTTTTTGGTTTCTGTTTTTGTTTCTTTGTGCAATCCTGCCCTAGGTAGATGAGGATAGGAGATGGAAAACTTAATCTGGAGGATGATGAGAGCTGGTTAAGTGATTATGCAAGAGCATTTATGATGAGCTGCTTTAGAGTTCAGCCCAAACCAGACATTGTGAATTTCCCTATGTGAAAATATTCTATGTGATATATACACCCAGCCCAGACAGGAGTCAGTCACGCCCTGAGCATGTCTCCCCCTCACCTTTTCCCAAAAAGAGAATTGTATGAAGTCTTGCACTGCTGGCTGCTTCTCCAGGCCTCTTGTAGCTATTCTCCTAACAGCAATAAGAATTATCTGTTCTTTTTGTACAATCTATCATGTTTACATCTACATAGTTGCCTCCACTTCTGTTCATGAATGTTCAGAACCAGGGCAAAATGTGGGCATTAATCAAAGTTGCTCCATTAATTGTCTCTGGTCATTAAATAATTGAAAGTGTCCATTCAAATTGTTGTTGGCCTTCACAAAGCCCAAAAGCAATGCAGCTGCTTGCAGTTAACTCACAAGCTATTAAAAAGTTAATTAACAGGACAGGTAATTATTTAATAAATGTTTATGTTGCAAGTTAGGGAGATCCCAATCTTTTAAAAACACTCCTATCAACGGTTAAACTAATCAAGGTAAAAATTGCTTTGTTGCTTAGATTGACATTGTAAATAAAAAATTTTATCAATGTGTTTATGTATTAAATGAAAGCCACCTTCAGATGCTAAAATTAACTAAGTTTACCTTATCTATTTTGTAATTTACTTTATAAATAAAGATTGATGCTTTAGCTTGGTGTTGTCTGAATCATTTCATACTCTCTTTAATGAAGATCTATATTCTAAGATGAGAATGTGTAATAGGCAGTTCCCATGGGACTAGAAAGTGACAGCGGAGTGTAAGAAGGGAGGTGAGCAGTAACAGAGCACCTGGCTTTTGCTTTTAGAGAAAATTCACTTTGTTAGAAACAGCTACTTTCTCATTGCTTTATGGGAGCAGCACCGAGGGCTCCATGACAGAATCCAAGGGTGTTCTTCTCTTGAGGTTTTTATGCTTTCAGTAATATCCCCCTTCAAAAATTTCATCTCTCCTTTTAAAATGCTGAAGTAGTTGACTGGTGATTGAACAGTTCTATCTGTTCTTACTTGCTCAGCATGAACTATACTACTATATTACTGGACTTCCAGTTCATGAAACTAAATCATCCCATTACAAGTAACTTGAATGACTCAAGTTACTGACCTGTGTGCTAGAAAGCCTTATTATAGTAACTAACACAAATTTGTATGTATTCTAGGATAATCTAATGTTTTTGGAGGGAACGAAATAAACAGAAGTCAGATAAACTGAAGTAAGCTACTCTTAATCTCTGTTAGTGTTTAGAGATGTTGACTTTACTGTATGGAGACCTCAAAAAAAAAAAAAAAAAACAAAAAAAAAACCCCACAAAGTTCCTTCTCCTTGCCCCATTCATATTTAAAAAAAAGTAGTTGCCACATAAAACTAGTTTTACCTAGTTAACCCCTCATAATCACTAAAGAAGTTCAAAATTTTTTTCTAAATTGTATGAAATAGTAGCTAACATTGCTTCATTTTCAGTGAGGAAGGGAAAACTACTGCCCAAAACCTCACTGTTGAGAGCAGCACTGCAAATAGTAATGATCTAGTATGACAGAGCAGGAACTCCCATGCCTGAGATTCTCCTCAAACTGCAGACTATCACAGTTGGTGTATGAACAAAAATGTTCCACCCTACCAGAGGTGAACAGAGCTGACCAGGGAGATGCTACAGCAAACACTTCTGGACAACACTATAGCTGTATTCCAGCTCCAGGGAATAGCAAAAAGTAGACGTGATCTAATATGAAAGCTTCACATAACAGCTGGAGTTGCTTAAAACTGAAGAATGGCTTCAGCAGATTTTATTCTAATTTAGCTTTATAGCAGCTTTTTTCTCCAGGTTCAGAGCTGTACAGCTTTATCCTATGCAGTGAGATTACCATAATGTTATTAACAAAAATGCAAGCAAAATAAAATGATAGGTATTTTCAAGGCTTAAAGTTTTAATAGTAGAAAAAAGTAGTAATGCAGAGGGTTTTTATTATGTTAACATTTTTTTACAATTTATATTCAAAAAATCCAGAAGCCATTAGGTAGATCCTTTTTTCTAAATTAAGCTAGCAGTTTGAAAAGGCAATACAAAATAAATAAATAGCCAGAAATCTAATGATATCATTAAATTAGAAATCACATGCTTCCTACAATGAGATACATATTCCTGAATGAAGTCACACAATCACAGAATTTCAAATTTAACTGTAGGCTGGACTGTGTTCGTATCCCTAAGCTATTAAGAAAGTTCACGAGGTGCAAAATGAGATTATATGAAAATAACATCTTCATTTACAATGGTAATATGTTCATACTTATTCCAGAGTATCTGGAATCTTACTAGTCACTTTCATTCCATTTTTAGTCTGCTTTGATCTGACAATGTTTCTATTTTAAAAACCTTTCTATTTATACTTTCAGAAGTGCGTTTTTGTATTTAGTTAATAATATATATTTAAAATAGCTTAATTATTTGACTAAGCAAAATGCAGAATTGATCTTCACATCATTATTCTGATCACTTTAAGAAAAGCAACCATTTGTATTTATAATCCATATTGAATCCTCTCCTAAAGTACTAAAAATACTCAATCCTCCTAAAATAGTCGAAGTAGCTAAGAGTCTTCCTGTGAATAAAAATTAAATGGTTTGTCATCATGGAGTTCAGTGTAAGAAAGCATTTGCAAATGTAAATGCATCTGCACAGCAAGATCACCATTTTGCCTGGGAATCACTGAAATGAAAAAACAACCTAGAAAATGTCTTGCAGCCTTTATTTGACTAAAACTAACACCAAGAAGACTTTTTGATAATAATCACATTCACTAAGAGTACCAGACCGTTCACTCTAATATGAACTCTTAAGCTAAAATATTAAGTAGAAGCTTGTTTAAACTGCGTAATACTATTGTCATTTCTCAAGACAACATTAAGTACCATTATAGCTATTAAATGGCTTTGCCTTCAATAGACAAAGGTCTAGTACATCTGATCAAGAAAGCAGTTTACAGAAAAAACATTCTGACCAGTTACAGTTATATGCCTTTGCAGCAGACATACTAGGTATCTAGAAATAAAAATAATCAAATAGATTAAAATATGGAAATGCATTTAAAAAGTTGCAGGAGATGATGATGTACCAGCACTGCAATTTGTTAATACAAGAAAGAGTTTTCCCATGTTAAGGGTCCAGTGACAAAGGAAATGTGAAAGAGCTGCTGACAGACCAACAGCTCATCTTACATGTGTCCAGAAAGTTCTGGAAAGCAGAGTCACTGATAATGTTGCACTAATACTGATTAAACGTTTGGTACTGATGTCTCCATTACAGAAACATTGATGTATCAGAAGAAACACATTATCAAGTTTTTATCTCTTGGAGCTGCTGTTGAACCTGGACAAGAACAGACAGAAATTAATTGATACTGTAACCATACACAGGGAACACACACAAAACTCACACACAAAACACACACACTCGCACCTAAATAAGCCTTTTTCCTGAGACTACATACCATTTTAATGTCTGGCCTTCTGTTTTTTTTGTCATTCAGACACCGATCAGCAATTGAATACATTTTATGAATTGAAGGTACATCCCAGTCACTCATCTTTACATCAACATAATCCTCAATAGTTGCTTCCTCATCCTCAATTTCATCTTTTATGGTTAACTACAAGAGAATTTGAACCAACAAGCAGATAACATTGTAAGTATCTGAACAACATGTGAGAGTATAAACTATACATTTTTATTAATTATTTATTTTTATTCTATACCATTTTAATTACCACGTCATAAAGCAAATTTCCTTAAGTTATATCATACAGATTTAACTGTCTCCCACTTCAAGACTCAATTTTCTAGTATAGTTTCTTTTGTAAGAGAAGAAGCACAATGAACAAAGTATCCTAATAACCCACAAATACGCAAGCTGAAGTTGGTATAATTTTTTAAATCAGTTTTATAAAGCCTCTTCCTGTAAATGAATGTCTGTCTGTAAACTAAACTTCTGTCTCCAGTCCCAGTGGCTGTGGTATCTGCTAGAAATTCTAGTCAGAAATAAAATTTTAAATGTGACTGGTTTAGTCCAAAAGGCCTCAGTTCCAACACACCTGAAGTAGGTTATCTGTAATCATGCGTACTCTTTGAGGAAGCATAAATGAATAAATAAGAGGCAATGAGTAGAGGCAGATCTTCTGCCTTCCTCAGTGGGTCAGTCTGAAATTACTGACCAACAACTGATTGTCTCAGAACCTGTTAACTTACTATGATTTCATATAAAGTGATCCTGGAGCAGTGGGAGGGAAGGAGAAAACATGAAGAACATACCAGCAACTGTGGCTCCCGGTTTTCATCTACTGGAGGAAGACCTGTTATTATTTCCAGTAAGACCTAGAAGGAAAAAAAAATCAGAAGAGAAAATAAAGCACAGAATAACCCTTAGCATACGTATGATTTGCAAAAAGGAGCATGACCTCCAGCCTGTCAACACACACTCTCGGGATCTGTGTTTGTCCAAAGATTTCCTATACACTTCATTGGTTTTGTTCCTACCTTTATTTTCATTAACTGTTATTAGTGGTGTTGCTTACAAATTTCAATAACACAAGTTATTGTCACCCTACATAGTGTTCCTGCACAGCAAGATTGAAGGATTTCCAAACTATTCAGACATAGTGTTGGGCCTGCCTTCCCATGAAACTAAATGCTGTGAAGGAAGTGGTCAATAGAGATTCAGAATAAATTAAATTTTCTTTCTAATATTAAGCTCATGTCTTTTTTGTACTTGGCTCTAAGGTAAATTCAACATGGACTGCCTTAGCGCTCTCTTGTCCCCCCTTTTGTATTTTTGGTGTTAAATATAGTAAAACACAATAATTTTGGACTATTTTCTTAAATTTTATTTTTCAGCCCGAGTTATACTTGTGCAATACCATGCAAACAAAAACTACGTTCCACACCACTTCAAACCACATTTAGCTAGAACTTGGAATATTTTGCTCTGGTATTTCACATAGCAAATCAACATATTCAAATGATTTTTACACAGTCAAAGTTTAGAAACACTATCTTAAGAAAATATCTATTGGGAAAAAAAAATTATAGAGCACAGTAATAATTTCATTTCAGATACTCTTGATTTTGTGTGCTTTTAGCATTTACAAAAGAAGTCATATACTGCTTCCCACATTCTACTTACTACTCCAAAACTGAAGATATCTGATTTAGGTGTTATCTCTCCTCGCAGAGCTTCAGGTGCCATATAGGCTGCTGTTCCAACAATTCTTTCAGTCATAATTGTCTGTGTGAATGTTACCGATGCTCTTGCAAGGCCAAAGTCAGAAATTTTGGGCACATATGTATCAGTTAATAAGATATTTGCACTGGTGGAGAGGGGAGGTAGGGAAAAAAACAAAAAAGGTAAGAGAATTTTCCAAACAGTACAATAAATAGGTTTTAATAAGACTAATAATTCTTTAGTAACCAAATATAAACTGCTATTTTGACTATCTTGAAAGCTAAGATATTTATACATAATTCACAAAATAAGTTAGGTAAATTTAATTTTGTTGGAAATTGTTCAATTTCAAAATTCATTCCTCTAAACAAACGAAGAACTGACTGCAAGACCCATCCACATTTTTTCTTGTGTTTGTATGCATGCATGCAAAAAAAAAGAAGACCACAAGGGAAAAAAACTAGACACTCTCCCTACCCCCAAACCTTAGAAATACAAAACTTTCTTTTAACAGACCAATTATGTTAAGTTTATGGTTTGCTTTAAGAGGGACAATACAGAATACTTGGCTCTGATCGACTTCTACTGGATCACAGTTTAATTCTTACAGTCTAAATCTCTGCTCAGAACTAACAAAAGCAGTTTTTTTATACCTATTATCTAATACTATGTCAACCATGACAAATTGATGTGCCAAATGAGTAATACCCTTATTCTTGTCTCGAAAGAAAACCAGAAAACTTAATTACTGGTAGAATATTGTATGTGCCATGTTTTCACTTGACCTCCAGCTTTTATTTTCCTTAAAAAAAGCAACCCTGACAAATGAGGCTCATCTCAAAGTCCTTAACACTTTCATAAAATACTCAGTGGGATGAGTTACAGCAGAAATCTACTGGGTTTTAATCTTGTACCACTTAAAACCATTTTAAAATAGCTTGATTTAATATTTATAAAATCCTCATTTTCTGATCCCTTTAATGGAACTGTAAGAAATCCACAATGCCAGATATAACATATAAAACTGCCTAGAAAGTTATACTTCTAAGTTCCCCTTCTTGTTCACCAAGCCTGAACAAAATTAACACAGCTGTAAGTTACAATGGATCACATGATGTTAGAACTGCTATAAATAATGCTAGATATATGACCACTACAAAAGGCCAGACACTTGTCAAGGCATCATCAACCAGCTGGTCTCCTGTTTAAAGCTCGACTTCTTAAAAAAAAGAGAATAAAATCACAACTTCATAAATTTCAGCTCCTTCTCAACTTGAGTCAAGTCCAAAGAGAAAAGAACAACAAATGCAATTTTTACTGCAACCTTCAAGCTTCAAAAGAGGACTGCACTATTTCCTGGGCATAACCAATCCAAAAAACTATGAACAACTGTGAGAATACCCATTAAGTCTTGTCCCCTCTAGCCTAGAGAAGCCGTTCTAATGCTTGTGTGTTTATAAATGGTCTACATATCACAGCAAAATGAAGACTGAAGTAATGCTTGTGTGTTTATAAATGGTCTACAAATCAATGCAAAATGAAGACTGAAGTAATCTTCTTAGATGTCTCTTCATCTAAATGTTATCTGGGAGTGGCACCACTATTATTAGTACTAATCACATGTATTGAACTACTCACACAATAAGTTGCAAAATGTTAAAAAAAACCCCAAAACCCAGTTGTCTAATACGATCAACTCACAGCAGTTAGAAGGGTAGAGGCAGCGTAAGGTAAAAAAGCACATCCCTTCCAGTCATTACACTTCTCCAGAGGCTTAAGCAGGGAAGAAAGAAGAAACAAACTGTCAAAGCAGCAAGCACATAACATACATGAGAGGCAGCTGAAGCAAATGCTCGTTCTCCCCTAGCTGAAAGGTCACAAAACTGAAGTTGCCTGTATTTAGCAAAGCTGCCAGAAGCCAGAAAGCTACTGAAACATTCATCCGTAACACCCAATCAGTCAGTTGCTCCTTATTAACCATCAGATGGAAAAAGACATCTGGGGATTTTCTTCAAAGATTTGGGCTGCTTTTTAAAAAAGCCAACATAGTAAACTATGTAGCATGAAAGAGGAAGTAAACAACAATAAAAACAGAAAAAGCCAACCAAACTCTACAACAAAACCCTCACCTATTCTGAGTTCTGATATCCATAGGAAAAAAACTCTGGTATAATGAACAATGAACATTCATTATCATTGAAGAACCCTGAACTTCATGAACTTGACAGAAATAATTTTACTATATTCATAAAAAATAGGAGTAAACCACAGGAGACAATCTGAAGAAGTGTTCTACAAAAAGGAAAAAAGGTGTGTTTTTATCTGAAAAATTCCCTATTTAAAAATTAATTGCTCCTCAACAGCAGCTTCATTAGAAGCAGTTGGTAAAGAACAGAATTTCATGTGTTCTCATGGCACTCAAATAACTATTTGAAAGTATAGATTATGATACAAATTACGATTTACATATTACATTTATAACACAATTACAATTACCATGCAAAATCCTATGGCTGGAATGCTGTCCAGCAGCTAAGGGAGCTGGCAGAAAAGGAGCCTCAGGGAAGGTCTTATCGCTCCCTACAATTAAACTGTCTGACAGAAGGCTGGAGCCAGGTGGGGGTCAGTCTTCTCTCCCAGGCAGCATGCAATAGGGCAAGAGGAAACGGCCTCAATTTGTGCCACAGGAGGTTTAAATTAGGTGCTAGGAAAATTTTCTTCACCAAGTGAAGCAGTGAAAGAGGCTGCCCAGGAAAGTGGTGGAGTCACCAGCCCTGGAGATATTAAGAGACATGTAGATGCAAGCATCTTGGGACATGGCAGTGCTGGGTTAATGGTTGGACTTGATGATCTTAAAGGTCTTTTCCACTCTAAGCAATTCTATGATTCTAGCCCCATAATTATCTTTACAAGCCTGTACTGGTCATGTTCTTGTGGCACAGACAAGGTTGTGGTGATGGATGTCACTTGCAGAAGATTGTGCCCTTGACTGAAGTAACGCTTTTTGCAGTTTGTTCTCTCTAAAATTACTTTAACAGGGGAAAGACGAAAAAGAAAAATGAAAACGTGAAAATGCAGCCAGCAATAGTCCACAGGTTTTACCTTTTAATATCTCTGTGAATGTGATTATTTTCATGCAAAAAGTTGATGCCATTTGCTGTACCTTGAACAATTTTACACCTCATATTCCAAGGAATTGGTGGAGTTTCATCCTAGATTAAGAAAAGAGTAAGGCAAGTAAAAATCTGAAAAATATATATATGCTCACATAAACCAAACAAACATACAAAACCCCCACAACCCAAAAGCAACTTCTTGCTATGTTTTGTTGTTTTTAAGTAGATGATTAAAAACACTACCAGCATACATTTCTTAATTTACTTGGGCAGAAATACATGCCTTTGTCACATTTCATTCTTTTCCTGCATTTTGCCTTAGAGTAAGTTGCCAGTTGCAAAAAATGTTTTTGGTTAATGTTTGATTCTGACACTCCAAGGCCAGCTGCTCTGCAAAGACCTATCTGTATCTGCTGCAACTCCCACTTTGTACTGGCACTGATATCAGAGCCTTCAACCTGAAGCAAATAATTCAAAGCAATCCACAGTTTTTACTAACAGCAAGAAGTCAATCTTCCAGTCTTTTTGGTATTTCTTGAGAGTTTAGTTTTATTCATGCTACTAATTAAACCTCAGAAGTAAGGACAGCTACATTTAAAAACCAGTCATCAAAAATCTTGTCAGTGGCCAAGGGAAGTGGCCATTTTCACAGTATCTCACCATTCTACCACCTCCCTTGCCTGCTCAATATCCAGACACAAAGATGACACAATCAAGTGTCCATGCATCAAATACATCCAGTGAAGTCACAAAATATTCAGCAAGAACAGATATTCAAGTAAATACATTACTCACCTCTCTGATATTATTAGAAAAAGATTCTTTCTAATTTATAGATTATGATTTAGATTCCTTGATTTATGTCATAAATGTGTCTCTTCCTTGTAAAGGACTCATTTATTTTTCCTTTAGCTTTCAATTATCCCCCATCTTTAAAGCTCCTTTGATGACAACAGCTAGTTACATGGATAACCATTTTCATATACATCCTTCTTAAGCACTGCTCATTTCTACAGATAAATTTGCACTGTCCTTAGGTAAGACTTAGTCTCTCTTCTGCACTGATTCAGTTAAAAAAACAAAATAATTGCACCTGTAGCAATGTATACAAGCAAACAAATCAACCTAAACTGACACAGCAGTGCTAACAGTACTAGTCCTTTCCCCAGGCACTGCTACTCATTTTCATCACAGCATCACTTTTTTTTCCCAACTGATAGATGCTTGAACCAGTACAACCAGAGAATCAGTGCAGAAAAAAAAGCAAGCCTGACATTTTAGGTCTGGGGACATGGGTGGTTGAAGTAGCACCAATGTAAAATATTCACCAGATTACAACCTCAAAAGCTGCAATTGCTTAGTATTAAGCAGATTTTCTTTGGACTCCTTCAACAAATTAACACAGACACTAATCCACTACCTTAAGTCTGGCTTACTATTGACTGTGTGTCCTTGATACACAGAGTTGCCACACCAAACCAAAGCACCTTGTTATTTACTTAAGGCCAAGGCTAGAACATACACCATTTGATTAAATCATAAGCATTTAAACAAAATAATATTTTTTAGTGTATTATAACCACTATCACAAGGACAATGAACAAAGGTCAGTTTCACAGTGCAGAATCTCAGGACCCAGAAGAGAACATGCCTACATAAGAACTAGGAAAAAAGACTGCAGCACCCTCTGCACTGCCTCACACAGGCATAGTCAGTCCAAGCTTCTGTGATGCTTCAGATACCAGTACATTGACATTGCACTGACAACCTGATTTGACTTTAATCTATCTAAAATGTTTGTGTAATATCTTATTGGAAGAACACTTGCTATTAGAACATAAGAAAGTAGTAAAACAGCATTTGGACATCACAGTTCAGTTCCATTTGAAGGACATTGCACAGATTCCTATACTTTAGCAAAGTATGGCAATTGGAAGCTAGAAAAGATTTCACTTACCAGACAAGCAAGCCTGTCAAGCAATGAACCATTAGGCATGTATTCATACACCAGACATGGCTGAGCACCATCACTTGAGAAACCAAGCAATTCTACTAAATTTTCATGCTGACACCTATAGCAAAAAAAAAAAAAAAATCTGTTCACATGTGCTCTGAAAGACTCTAAACATCGGAGGAAAACACAAAGCAGAGGGAACTTGATTCCCAATGACTTGTTTCACCTCTACTGCATAAAGCCAGGTTTCTGTGGTGATGTTTTAAAACAAATGGAACATGACTGTGTTGTACAATAAACATTTTCAGTTAACATGCAAATTGTTATGTTAGAAAGACAAAACTGTATAATGATGTACTCACTTTGCCATTATGTTTATTTCTTGCTCAAATTGCTGTTTCAAGTCCTGAACACTGACATCGACCATCTGTAAAAAGAAGTATTTGACATTAACATCATTGGTTCATCATAAAATGCACAGCTTTTCATTAAGGGAAAAAGAAATAACTGAAAGCCTTTCTTAGTTAACTTTCACAATACACCTTCCACTCAGCTCAAAAATAAATAAAGTATCAGAACATGACTTTAAATTCCTTGGAACGCTGTATAAGTGGATATAGTTTCAGTTAACAACTTACTTCATTGCAGTTACCACCTAAAAGTACTTAATTACAAAATTCAATATTCACACAAAAGAATGGTTACAAAGACTAAAATTCTGTGACAATACCTATTTACCTTGTGAATCTCAGCCATCCTAATCTGAAACGGAAACCTCCTTAGGACCCCTTCTCTTCTGGCACTCCTTGAGGATGAGGGGAAAACAACTGGGGAAGCACTCTGCTCTTCCCAACAATTTGCTTAGCCCCTCAAAGGAGAGCTACAGAGAAGGCAAGAATTAGCTCCTGTGACTGTGCTGACTTGCAACACTGATGGGACTAAGGATAAGTTTCTTAATCCAACTAAAGTGCAACATGGTGACAACACTTTTTGAAAGGTATCATTCAACACTTTTCACAATAAACAAGATAAACAAATCTATTATATAAAATACACAGTAATTAAAATGAAAAATTCCCAGGACAACTCACAGCAATGAGCTTCTTGACAGCCACGTTTTTGCCATTGATGTAGCCTTTGAACACAATGCCAAATCCACCTTCTCCCAGTTTATTACCTCCAGCTGATTCTGGTCGCGCATCAAAATTATTTGTAATGCTTTCCAAGTCATGAAACAAAAAATTCTGGAAATCTGAAAGACATCGACATTTAGCATAGAACTACGTTTTCACTTAAGGAACAAGGTTTTCTGTTTCGCCTCTCTTAAAACAAAAACTTGCTACCACACAAAACCTGACACAGTGGAGCCCTACTTCCAGCTCTGTGATGAAGATTCCAGACATACAAAAGGAAGGCAAATAAACATATATAATTACCTATGCATCATTTTCTTCACAACTAACACTAGCACGCACTTGATTGTATTTTGGTTCATATTTGTAATACAGGTAATAGAAATTAAATGTGTAGCATATCACAGAGAGAGTCCCACTGCCTTATATACAAAAAATACACCAAGGTTACATCATGTTTCTGGCATCAACCCAAAAGTGAACCTTTAGGAAGAAGAGACCAACCACACAGTTTCCTAAAATGCCTTCTTTAGTCAACTTTCCTCTAGAATTCTTAGTCATTTCTGACACACAAAAGCTAGTTTTAAAGCATGAGATGCTGAACAGTCTATAAAATAAGAACTGGAAAAGCACAACAGGATTATGTGTGGCAAAAAAGAAATTGCAATTTAATGAACAGTTACATTTTCCCTCAAAGTAGGTGACTTACTGGGCAAGATGCTGTTTTCCACAGATGCACCATGATAGAATAGAGTCATCATTCTCATGCACCCTATGATTTATTTACATGGGTTGTAGGACAGATCAGCAAAAAAACAGCACTGAATTCTACCAAAGTAAATGTCTACCTGTGTTACTGGACTGTGAGCTGCTGTTTTCTTCACTTGAGTAGGAAGAACCTGAATTATGCTTCTCAGTACTCTGAGCTAAAACAGGCTTTACAGATGCCACTTTTTTTTCCTGTACAGGTAGTTGTTTCTCATGTATAGGCAAGGTTTCCTGTGAAGAAAGAGGTAATGTAACTTCTTGTGGCATCCTTACAGCTTCTGGAAAGGGAATTTAGAAAAAAACATTAACTACATTAGGAACCAGAGAAAAAACTAAGTAATGCTTATGTCAGTATTTTTGAAAACTAGGAGACACATATGTATCACCAGGTTATATTCTGCCACCATGTGTAAACTCAAGCACTCTTATTGGAACTTGAAACTCTTAAACTATTATTATAATGATAGAAAGGGGGAAATATATTCACATTTGGTTAGGTTTTAATGCAATCCTTTCTGATTTTCAAGTTAGTGTGAAGTTCCCTAGCATCTTAGAAAACTGAAAACATAGTACAAAATGTACAAGAGTGACAGTTACCTGGAAGCAAAAGGCTTGCTGGTGCTAGGAACTGATTCCTAATCAGCAGATCCACAAGATCAGCAACTGTACAGTTTGTGGTTCCCCAGTCATAAAGCAATTCACACGTGGGGCTCTTTCCCATTTGTACAAATGCCTCAAATCTCCTTAAAAGATAAGTTAAGACCAATATGAAAAAAAGAAAAAAATACCTCAAGAAGCATGAAGGGAAAATGACCAAAAAAAAAACCCACATTGAAAACAAAATCTGAATGCACTGCAAAATCTTCTGAAGACACAGCCAAAAAAACCTAAACATATTTAAAATCAGTGTAAAAGCATGCAAAATATGAGAAAAATGATGGGAAATACACATATACATGGCTTCAGCTGTTTGTCTAGGATCCATAATATATTGGCATCTTGGACAAACAAAGAAGAGACTGTCAGCCAGAGACCCAGAGACAGTCAGAGCCAGATCAAATGGAAAAATAATTGTTTTGCATTCATTTAGCATTCACACCCCATCTTGAATATTTTGAGATGGGCATTAAAAATAAAATGAGATCCAGTATTCTGACTGATATAATATTATTATTGAAAGAAAAACAAAAATTTAATACTACCATTACTAGAAAAGACTGGAAACCCAAGATGATATATATAGAGCATCTAAAAATCTCATAGTCTTTGAAACAGCTTCAACAAGGATTCAACAAGCCCTTCAAGCAATGAGGTGCTCATAAAATATTGCAAGCATCACTCCTCAAGTAAACTTGTCAGTTTTAGGCCTCAGGCTCCCCACGTTTATTGGGCATTTTCTTGGGAACAGTGAATTAGGAGTTACAGTACAGCTGTCTCTGGGGCCCTGTAACATCAATTCTAGTCTTTAGGGTACAGAAAGTTATGCAGCCCGTGCTGTATTGCTAAAAATACCTGTGTCTGTAGTTCTAATTAATACTAATTTCTTTAGTCAATTTTCTGAAGTTTGCTTAAAACCTGAGCTGCAGTACAATTAGGAGTAATTACCTTATGTTCCCTAAGGAAACGGGACTGCAAGACGCAAGTGCCCACCAGCACACGAAGTGCAGCAACTTACAGGAATGGGATGGAAAGCGGGATTAACAAGGCATGTGGTGAATGAGTAATGCACGAGTTTACGTTACGAGACTTTCATGTAGGACCTTATGTGCACTTGGCTGTATCTGCTTTCACCGGACGGGTTGGTTATATCCACCGCAAGTTTCTTCCACCCTTCCTGCGGGTCGATGAAGTCTGCCAGCCGCCTCACGAGCCCGTAGCTCAGGCAGCGGACATGCGTGGAATCCGTCACGGGCTCGCCCATCCTCCGCTCCTGGTAGGACACAGCGTTACCCGCGGGGCTCGCCGGGCAGCGCCCGCCCAGCGAGGCGCCGCAGCCGCCCCCAGCCCGACGGCTGCGACAGCCGCCCCCGCGGCGCAGCTCCCGCCCACCATACCCGGCTGCGAGTGCCCCCCGCACCGCGCAGCCGGGGCCGCCCGAGTCCCCTCACGCCTCAACGTCGCTTCCTGCCCGCGGCCCCCACGATCCCGCGGGCCCCGCTCCGTACCGGGCCTTCCCGGCGCACCGCTCCCCCTTCCCCTTCGCCTGCACAGCTTCCCCTTTAAGGGGGCGGGGCCCAGCCCCGGTGCCGCTGACGTCACCGGCGCGGGGAGGACACAGCGGAAGCGCTCTCCCACCTGGCCCTCCCATAGGCGGCCGAAAGGGGCCCCGCCCCCGGTACGACCCATGTCCGGCCGCGAGCAGGGGGGGCTCGCTCGTCGTCCTTCCCCCCGGCCCTGGGGAACTTGGTGACGTCCTTGGGCCCCTTTGATGGGAGGAGGGGGCGGTGGAGGCGGTGGCGCCCCCTGGCGGCGGCTTCCGGGGCGAGGGGGTCCCGCTGCTCTCCGTCCGTGCCTCGGTCCCTGCATCCGCCCATCCGTCCGTCCGTCCGTCCGTCCCTGCCCCAGCCAGCCACCCTCCCCGCCTTCCAGCAGCCTTCTTCGTAGCAGTTGATGCTATTCTGGCCCTCTCCCTTTTCCCTCTCCGCCCGCTGCGGGTGCGGCGGGCCTGGCGGGGAGCAGAGCAGCCGGGCAGCCATGCTGCCCTCCTTCAGTTACCTGAGCGAGCACATCGGCTTCCGCGGCACCATCAAAAACTCGCCGAGAGACTTCGTGGTGACAGAGCTCGAGGTGCCCCAACTCCTCCTCAGGGACGCCCGAGCTGAGCAGCTCCAGGAGAGCAGCGAAGCGCCGCCGGCACAGAGCCGCCCGTGTCCGCGGGAGCCCAAGAAGCGGCGGACGGAGCCGCCCGGGCCGGGTGCCCTCGGGTGCCCCCGGGATGCTGCGCCCGGGGCCCCGGGGCGCGGCCCAGGCCGGGCGGGGGGCGGCTGTGCTGCTTCCCCTGGCAGAAAGGAGCGGGAGGGAGACCCCGATCTGCAGCCCGGCCTCGGGGAAGCCCCTGTGTTGGAGGCCTTACTCGGCAAGTCCGTGAGCGAACTGCTCAACAAATTTGCCTGCGATGTGAAGGATGCGTGGGGCTTGGAAAACAACGCGGATGCTGGTGCCAGGGAGTTCTCGCTGGGACCTAGGCTGGACAAGAAAATTCGAGCTGATTTACACAGTGCTGTTAGGCAGAAATACCCCTTTCTAGTCACTGTTACGAAAGACAATGAAATGATTGTAAAAGGGAATCCTGATTACAGAGAACTTTGTCAGTTAGTAACTGAAAAGGAAACAAGTGATTTCTTTAAATTTTTAGATGCAAAGCTAGAAAATTCTACATTTTCCTTTGAGCCTGATGGAAACAAAGAGCACAGAAAAACAGTTCACCACTTCATCAATAGGAAATTTGGAAAGCTCTTAGAAACAAAATCTTTTACCATGACAGATGTCAATGATCAGACAAATACGTCAATAATAGTACGGTTTCGAGAAAAAAGTTCGTCCAGGAAAAGGTGTGCTGGTGGTTTTCAGGATAAGCAAGATGTTTATACAGGTAAATTCATTTTTAGTGATGGTGGCAGGTATTATGGTGTTCTGTAGAAAGCCATACTCAGGATCATTTCTATATGACACATTGGCCTGTCAACTCATTGTTGATGTTGAAATAAATAATTATCAATGCAGTGGTGTTGTATCCCTGGAGAATGAAATGGAGGAATCAAGTTACTGCAGCCATTTGGCATAAACTGCTCACTGATAACGGTTACAGTTCTTTTGACTGTAGCCACTAACTAACTCTGTGGCATTCCCAGGGTGATAGCTTTCCCTTGAAAGTAATTGTGGGGTTTTAGGAGGTGCATCTAGATACTGAACAAGTTAGGAAGGTCAAGTTTGACTTATGATCTCATTCTTGCATTCTCTGATACAGAGAATGTTTCCTGCAGTACGTCCATGCATGTCTGTTGAATTGTGTTGCATTTTATGAGGTACAGTTTTTAAAGGCATCAGCGTTTTTGATTTGTCTGAGTTTTGTGTATGATTTTTATTTCTTTCCTTCTATGCTGTAAAAGTCCCATTTGATTTAGTTTGTGGGGTAGGAGGACAGTTTCTTTACAGTTTCCATGCTGTTGCAGTTTGAGGGGAAGAACCTGCCCATCTGTCATGGCAGAACACTGAAACATAAAGGCAAGTTCCTAATAATTCTGAGATTGTTTCAGCTTTCACCCTTCAGAAAGAGAACCTAGAAACACTAGAAGCAATTGGCTTGTTGGCAGTTGAACTTGATGTCCTTCCTTCAGACTTCAGTTACACTGGCATGAAAGATAAGAAGGCTATCACTTTGCAGCCTATGGTGGTGAAGAAGGTGACTCCCGAGAGGTACTTAAAATCTGGGTACAAGCAATTTAACATGTAGTTTTTTGGCGTTAATAAGTATCAAAATAGTACAATCTCTTGAAATGTCCTTTCTGATGTGTTTTCCCCTTGTCTGTATAGAGCACAGTGGAAATGGCTTTAATCTTTTGTGGCTTTAGGGAGTATACAACTTAGCACTCAATGGTAAATCTTCCACTGCAAACTGGACTGTAAGGCCAGTTGTCCAGGAGGTAATTAGCAAAACTTTGTGTTAGTGTTTAAATGATGAAGAAAAATAGGTAAATGCATCCTCACAGCAAGAGAAATCTTTTTTATAAATAAACTGTTTATGAAGTTATTAAATATTGCTTAGGATTCAAGCTCTTATGCTGAAATTTTCCTTTGATTTGAGTGACTCCTATTTACATGTATGAACAAAGAGATTGAGTGAGTATTTTAAAGTGTAAATATTTGAACTGTCAGCTGTGTTTCCAATTACAAGCATCTGCGAGCACACCCAGAGAATCAGTGCACTGAATTTGTTTTTGTTAAGGCTGATGAAGAAAGACCAATTTTGTTTTGAGGTCTGCTAGAGCACACTACCTTTTCCTTTCTCTTTAAAAACAGGTTTTGAGGAGGTAAGAGTAAAAAAATTACTAGTTTTTCAATTTAAAAAATTAAAAATTCAGTGCAGTTACTCTGAGAAATTTCCATGTATTGCTTAATTCCAGCATCTGTCAGGATCATAAAAATGACAATACTTAAAAAAGTATTTCTGGATTATAACTTAATTTTAAGACTTTTATCTCTGTGTTTGATTTCATTTTCTTGTCATAATTGTTTTACATCCCATTTTATTTTTTAATGTATTTTTAGTATCAGTGCAAAGGTGAAAAAGACATTCATTAGAAGCTGTATAGCTTTAGTAGAGGACGGTTCATAATTTCTCCCAATTACTTATTCAGGTTGAAGGAAATTGGAAACAAAATGGAAAAAAAGGGTATGAAAATATACAACATCCGTCCAGCATACCAGCACCTCAGACTTGGTCAGCTGAAGGGCAATCACTTTGACATAGTTGTGAGAGATCTCCAACACCACAGTCATGACACTTCTGCAGATTTGAAGGAGAGAATATCTGAAGCAGTGGAAAGTGTTGAGGTAAGAAAGACTCATGATAATTAACAGAGTTTTAATTCTTTGCTGTTATAAAAAGTACCTTTAAGGAAAATGCTTGTAATAGCACAATAATGGCAATATTTCCCAAATTTGGGGCTTTTTGCAGTTTTATGTCTTTCCTGCATTACTTAGGGAGTCAGGAGTAAAATTGCCTTCCAAGAAGGGATTACAAGTGAATTGATTCCATGTTTCAGCCTGGAGGCCCCAGGGTGGTGCAGCAAAAGAAAAGGGGAATTCAGTAACAAATGAGTATGGATATAAGAGCCATTGCTGCACAGAGCTGAGGCCAGCCAAAGTGATGGGTCTCACTGTGGCAGATGAGGGAGGAAATAATGTACATCCATATAATGTGTATGTGTACGTGTATATACACACATATGCTCAGTGCAAATCACAGCTGGTTGCCTTTTTTGGTCATGTGAGGAACATGCATGGTTGGCTTGGATGAAAAACTTTCATGGTATGAACATATGTGGAATGTCTATCTCTGATAAAGACTCCCCTGAAATGCAGTGGATTTTGATTCTGCTTTCCTTAGTTCCTGAAGGAAACTCTGATCATGCAACGTTCTTAAACCACCAAGAAAAATAAGAGCAAATAATGGAAGGGAAAAACTGTAAATATTTTTTACAGTATTGATTCTCTGGCCCTATCTTTCGAAGCAATGACTATAATATAAATTGCTTTAAGAAGATTAATCCAGGAATAAAGTCTTGAATGACAACTACTCAGTGTGCAAAAGCAAAATACATTACATGTACTTTGGAAATCAAATTTTATTGTTGAGAAAAGCATTCAGCTGCTACTATAATGCTTTCTTTGCTTCATCTGACTTGTTTTATTTTGCCATTTGGAAAATGAAGCCAAATTCCTGTGATTGTGTGTCTTGCTTTATTGGATTTACCTTACTAGTCAGAAGATAAATGACAAAACAGGATACGTATTAATCCAAAATATGCATTTTTCATCTTCTGTGAAGGCAAAATTATGTATGGGACCTATAGATGTCCAAAGCAAGATTATAAAATTGGAACCTATATAACCATTTGCAAAACAAATATGTACTTTGTGTTTGTCTACTCCATGTAGACAAGACAAACTATTTTCTAGAAAATAGTAATATTTTCTAGAAAAGATTACTATATATATTTTCTATTTTCTATATAGATATTTTCTAGAAAATATTACTATTTTCTAGAAAAGTGTGTTCTCTTTGGGTCACATGACTGTGATTTTACTTCTTGTGTGTTACCTAGAACTCATCAGGAGATTTAAAATCCCAATTAGCAGAAGTGTTCACTTTTGACCTTTATATTGCACTAATAACAGAAATTATTTCATGTGAAAAAGATTAGTGTTTTTAAGAAAAACATTCAGTGGTTACTGTTCATTAGCTCTGCTGCATTTGCTTGAGTAGAGATTCCATAATCTGACACATTTAAAAGCTTAATTTCTTTGAATTGACCTATAGTTGTAATTATAATAATTGACTCTGTTGGAATAATTTTATTTCATTTACATGGGATCTTTTTAATAATGTGAAGACAATGGGAGAACTTGATAGTCTTTTTAGATGTCTTTTTAGTGCCAAAATATCATAATGAATTATGAGTTTTGCTTTTCATGTAACTTCTGATTCTAGTTTTATACATTTTGGATGTAAATGTAGATGTGTGTGTGCTGTCTGCCAGGCCTTATTGATCATACCCAGTACTTTCACACATGTGATGTATTTATTCTTTCTCATTCTAGACAAAAGGTTTTGTGAATTACTACGGACCTCAGCGATTTGGACAAGGACAAATTGTTCAGACAGATCAAATAGGCTTGGCTTTACTGAATGAAAAAATGGTATTTCCATTTTGTAATTTGAGTCCTTACTGTCAAGAGAATTTCATATTACTGTTGCAATATCTAGCACTGGAGTTGACCTTCTCAGTGGACAATTTCATTTTTGAGATAAACCCATCTGTGTGCTGGAAACAATGGTTAGATCAGTTTCAATAACAGCATAAGCATGAAGATACTCATACTGAAACTAAAACCTTTTAAACAGCAAGTGAAGCTTTAAATAGTTCTGGGGTGATAGTTCTGTCTGTGATTGGGATTGTCATCATGCCACTTGGCAGGAAAGTGGTTGCATTCTGTACAGGGTTTGAACACTGAAAAGAAGCAATCTTCATACAGTGTTCATTCATGGTCCTGATTACTCTGAACTGTAGCTTCTTTATCCTGCTGGGGGTCTGTTTACTTCTTAAAAATGTCACATAAGTTT